CAGAATATTGGTATACCAATTAGTAATCCTAATTGTCATCATAATCTAATAAGATGTATTGCAACACATTTAAAATATTTAGTCTGCATTCTCCTTGTGTCTGGTGTAATCGGAAGCATTATGTTGAATTAATGCCGACATTATGTTTGCAGGGTTTTTTATACAGTATGTATGTTTATCTTATATGTGTAAGATTCCGTTCCAGTGCTGAGCTTGGAAAAGTGGGTAGTGATCTCTGGCCTGAGGCTTTGTAGTCAGGTCACGTACATTACAAAAAAAACTGCTGAGTTCAGAAATTCATTCACATTTCTTCATTTGCTTTTCAGCCCTTTAAAGGATGGGTAGTGGGTCAAGAAAGGATCGTAGTTAATTAAAGATCTCACTTGTCAGTAAGGTGCTATAGTTGTTCACTTTTGTGTGCCAGGTGGTCAATTTGAACAAAAATAAAATGTATTTTTGTATGAACAAAAATAAAATTACTTAAGGATGATTGGCTTGAAAAAGGGTACCTTGTGGTTGGTGATTAACTCAAGAGAATAATTCTTGATTACTGACTGGGACAAGAAGGCCATGTGCTTTAGGAATAGTGAAGTCTGATCTATCCAAAATTGGAGACTGTAGTGGTACTGTATTTTTTGTGTTTAATAAAATAACAAAAAATTCTGGTAGTTTCTTATTTTAGAATCATGTCTACTGAGTGACAGTTTGAGTAGCAGTTATGACAAAGATTGTTGTTTTAGGTTTAAAAGTGCTGATGCAAAATATGAGATTATAACATTAGCTGTAAATGAAGTTGCAGTTAAAAAGAGAAAAATGGTTGGTGTTTTCATGTTTAGGAAAGTACATCTTATTTTCCTTGCTGTGCAAAATAGGGATGATAAAACTGCATCAAAATGGAAAACCTAGAGAAGGAACCTCTGAATACTCTCCCTAGCATACTTTGTTTGCATATTAAATTCATATTCAAACACATTATTGGTATGGCCAATGAATTGCAATGTTGCCAAAGCAATAACATTTAGAACATTTATAACAGTATTACTGTATATTATGTGTGAAGCTCACTGTTCCTCAAGCTGTGACAAATGGTTATGGGATATCAGATCTTTTGAGTTTCCTCAAGGGTTTCCTGAGGGTTGGTACTGTAGCTGTTATGATTCCTGCATGTGTGGGAATTCTGGACTTTTTACTGTGTAGGAGAAAGTGCAGCTGTATTTCTGCTTTTCCTTGCTGTTCGTATGTCTAGGCTGTGGTCGCTGAGCCTGTTCTCTCTAGGCAGCCAGATCTGCTGGCTTAGTCCAGTTTCTATTTGCAGGCTGTGGTCAGTGAGCCTGTCCCCCCTGGACAGCCAGGTCTGCTTGTGTCCAGTTTGTATGTCCAGGTTATGGTCACTAAGCCTGTACTTCATCAGGGTCTGTTTCTCTATGCTGTTTCTTAACCTGGTCAGATACCCAGATAGTGTGTATTGTCTGGGTGTGAAGCATTCCAGTTTGTGTTGTGTTTTGTGTGTGTTTCCCAGTAAGTGAGGTGTTGTTGTTTTTGGAGGTATGTGCTGTGAGATCGTTGACTGATTTGTAGTGTTTTAGCAGTGGTTTTCTGCTGTTTTTGGTGGTGTCAATGTGAGCTTCAGGAGCAGCTGGCTGAGGGTAGCATAAACATTTGCAATTTAGAGACATTGTGTAAAGTGTGTATGGATCTTGTAAGAACTTTTGATTTGTTGTTGTTACTGTGATGATACGTTTTTAAATTTTGAGGTTTCAACTGTCTTTAGCAATAAATGCCTTGTGCCAAATAATGTCCCTGTTGTGTACAAGGGGTGAGACTAATGGAATCAGTTTGTTTTGATAATCGAAAAATGTAAATTGTTCTGTTTATTCAAACTCTCCAAGGAAATGCATATGCTTATACATTTTCAAGTATGAGTAATTAAGGTATGTAGAGGTTGTATGTATTTCTTTCATGTATCAAAGGAACTTTGGACTTCAAAGGAACAAGTAATAGGTTTATTTCATGCTGTAAAGAGAAGAAAGAAAACGCAATGTTTCAGCTATGGAGCCTTCTTCGGGTGTAAGAAAGATAGGGCAGTCAGCAAAGATAATATAGCATGGGAAAACAAAAACCAGGAGATAGGAGGAGGTGGGAGCAGGGAAGAGGCAGAGCAGCCGATCAAGTGGTGCGAGATTGAGAGAGGTGTGAAACGAAACCTACACATGAATAGAGAGAATTAGAAGAAAACAAGTCTGTCATTGAGAGAAGGGGGATGGTATGAGCCAAGTTTCAGGATACTTTTAGTTTCTGATGTTGTTCTACTATAGGAGTTAAGAAACCCTGCTTTGAGAACACGGATGGAGAAATCAGTGTGATCATGGCTGTCAGAGGTGAAATGAGAACCTAAGTCATCTGTGCATGTTGACCTGAATCAAAACGGATCTTTTTTGAAAGCTGTCCCAAAAAACTCAGTACGCTGATCGGTGTTGGTAAGTTGAGTGTTGGAGTTAAGGATCTACCTTTGAGTTTCATCCCAGCTGTCAAAGCTGGCTGCTCTTCCCCAAGTGCTGGAAACAGGTATGTCAGGAATCCTACCGGCGGCTCCGTCCTTTTCAAATTCATTTGCTAGAATGACCACCTGTCTTTGTTATGATTGGTTGATTCTACCATTATAGTGGGCTATGGACCAGTTTTACAGCTCTCTATAACTGGTTCTGTCAACACTGTGGTGATGCTCTTTTGTTAAATTTGTATTAACTTGGATCTCTTGATTTTGATCTGCTTTATGATTTGGGAAAATCTGACAGTGGCTAACAGGCTGTACTCCACAACAAAGCAACAAAACAGAACTTCTGCCTTTGTGACAACTTTAGGATGTTGATGAGGGTTTCTTAATGTAAGATGTGAGTGATTGATTCACTTATTTCCGCTTATCATTGTCAGTGTGGCATTTTGTTTTGATGCGCATCACTGATGCTTTGAAATTACGTCTGTAAACACAGCAGTACTCACTACGCTCTCCAAAAGTTTAATGCTACAGATTAGTCAAACTCATTGTCTGTTGTGCTAAAAATGTAAAAGAACAGATTTGTTGTGGGAGTGGCTTCATCTTCTGTTCTTGCATTTTCAATGGATTATGTCCTGAAGCCTACAACTTGTTCACAGTCCAGACAAGACTGCTTTTTGATGGATGGGGATCAGATGAGAGGTACTGTACATGGCAGCAATGGCTAAAGTACCTCACTTTGTAGTGAATGATTTTTGCCTGTGAAAATAGATGTGGATGCTGTTGAAGGAATATGAAGACTTAACATTTAGACCAAAAATAAATCCAGGAGTTTTTCATTTGTCTATTTTTTTTATCGGCATCTGACAAGTTTCAAAACTGTGAGTCTTGTACATTTCTTTGCTACATTCAGAATCTTCTTTCCTTTCATGAAAGGAATTTATTAATATTGCATTCACTATTACTTTGCAAACCAAATCATTTAGATAGATAAGACTTTATTGAGCCCGAAGGGAAATTGATGTGTAACAGCAGTCCAGCCCAAGACAAGCAAAAACAGATATCAGAATAGACGTAAAATGATACAAAATAAATATAAAATAAATACATAGGTGTGTGCAAAATATGATGATCATAGTCACTGTAAAAACAATAGAATATGTGCAAAATATGCATAGGTTTATACAGATTGGTTGTCCAAAAAGTACAATGGAGCAACATGCTGTCCATAGACGAGCAAATGAAGGGCTAACAGTCTTAGCCTAGGGCAGCGTTATACACCCTGACAGCTGCCGGGAGGAAAGACCTGCGGAAACGTTCCCTTGAACACCGCAGCTGGAGCAGTCTGTTACTAAAAGTGCTCCGCTGCCCAATAACTGTCCCATGAAGCGGATGAGAGGTGTTGTTCATGATGGCTGTGAGCTTGGTCAGCATTCTCCTCTCAGCCACCACCTCTAGGGGGTCAAGGCTCATCCCCAACACAGAGCCAGCCTTCTTGATGAGTTTCTTGAGCCTATTTGCATCTCTTGTCATGATGCTGCTACTCCAGCACACAATAGCATAGAAGATGGCCACTGCCATCACCGATTCATAAAAAATGTGTAGCAGTGTTCCACACACACACCAAAGGACCTGAGCCTCCTAAGAAAATAGTGTCGGCTTTACAACCTTTGTTGTACAGGGCGTCAGTGTTACCAGACCACTCCAGCTTATCATCCAGGTGTACCCCTAAGTACTTGTAAGACTGCAGCCCCCTCTATGTCCTCA